AGCAGGCTTTAACATTCTGGGATCTGTTATTGAGGCTTATAGATTATCACTTACCGGATCTTCACTTTCACAGCCTGGATTGCAGTCTGCTTCTTTGCCAAGCTCTACATTGGTATTGGCTGCACCTTTGTATCTCCAGCTAGGTAACCGGGAAATTTGATCATCAGATGCCCCTTTCTCAGTTGACCCCATGTTCATGTTGTAGCCAAGTAGGCTGCTAATCAGTGGCACGCAGCAGCATAGGAATAGAAACAACAGGAATGGGAATGAGTAGCTGAGAGCATTCCAGGCTAGCAGAGAGATGCAGAGAACATGAAGATTTGGAGCGTGGTGGAACGATCCAAACCGGGAATCAAACACCCAAACATTTCCCATCACAAACCATATTGCAAAGAATAGCTCAAGTGAAGTCCGACATTTATTCATCAAATGCGAGCTCCTGTACATACTATATATCAATTAATAGCAGTGACACAAAAAGGCAACTGAAATTCTATAGGAACATGAAATAGCTCGGTTTATTGCTTTCCTAAAATGGCGTTGAAGTTCTAATTAGTACTTTAGATGGTTTTTACCTAACTTCTGAACTAATGGAACCTTATCAAGAAGAATCATCAAATGCTAATTTGATTGAAATCTCACAATCCATATAGATGATATAGAATCGGAATCTCTTTCATCCATATCCATCTATGACAATGCATAAAATGAAATGATTGTCTCATTCTTAGTTTTTGAACTAATCAAAGATTTTCAAAGAATCATCAAATACTAAATTGATTGAAATTCCATATATAATAGGAAACAGATCTATCCCACATCAGTAACAGTAAGAATATGGCAATGCATAAAGGAATTGTTTTTCTTACAGAAAAATGGAAAGCTTACCTGGATTCTTCACTCCCCCTCTGTTGTTCCAAATCAGAAAGGCTAAAACCATCTCCCTGACTCATGTGAACATGGTGGTAGCGCCCATAAAGTAGCAGCAGACTGAGAACACAGCCAATATCATACCCCACAATCCAAATTCTCATAGGCCAAATAGGCCTCTCCCTTTGTGACATGGCCAAAGTGAAGGTTATGATGGTTATTTGAATAGCCAAAGCCAAGAACTCCAGCATCATCCAAGTGCTAGAATTGAAAGGATTGGACCCAAGATCAGACCTCGACCCATTCTGATAGTGGAAAACTCTTCTCAAGAAAGAGAACCACCTTGCTCTCGATATCCTCATTGCCATTCTTATCAACAGTGAAGAAGGGGGAACACGAGTAGACCTACTCCGCACACCCACTGCCATCCTATCTTCTCCTCCTGAAGAATTTGAAGGAGATGCAGCACTTGAATTGCATAGCAAATCCGGTTGAAATGTGTACCGAGTATTCATTGGGAAAAACTTTCACAGCCAAGTAGCTGCAAGGCTTCCCCTTTTAATAAATGAGCACTCACTTTTCAAGATACTACAACTGTACACAAGAACAATCCTGGTAGAAAACTCATAAAACTATCTAGCAATCACACAAATAGCACTTGGAAAATATATATCCACAAAACTTTCATGTTTTTGGAGTAGAATACTCATGAGATTCCAGTGAGGCAAAAAAGCAAATACCAGGAGGGTTAACCTTGAGTAGCTTGTGTACCATGCAGAATTCAGTCCTTGGAGCTGGAAACTTCCCCTGAAAACCAAAATCTCCAAAAACCCACAAGCCAAAACCAATCAAGAACCTTACTTTCAACAAAGAAGTCACACCAAAAGGCACCAGAACTTGCTTTAAACTAAAAAAAAAAAAACGCATATGGGTATATGTTGATACACACCAATATAAGAAAAACGGAAGAAAGAATTCAAGTTTAAATAGAAGGTTTAGGAACCATGAGGAGGAGGTGAGAAGACGTTTGTAGAGAATATGACAGGAGAAGGTGAAGTTGGGTCTGAGATGGTGACCAAGAATCAGCTGAAAAAGAGGTTTACTTTGATTCCAAGTGAACCAGAGGGAAACAAAGTTGGAGGGAAGCTAACCGTTGGCCTAACTTCCCTCTGGTTTTTATTTAAGAAGCAAGCAAAGCAGAGACATCAACCGCCTCTCTTCACCTGCAAATCTCCCTCCAAAATTGGAGAATTCACAAAAAAGCAAAGTTTTTCTTTTTTTTGAGCTAATTTCACTGTTTACAAGAGCTTAATTTGGCTAAGAGCAGAAAACAAAGAATTTTTTTCAGATTCATATTTCATGAACTGTTTTAGTTTTAGTGGGCGGTTGGCCAGCCGCCACCTAATCCAACCATCTTAAATGGGATCTTCGGAACAGAAGATTTTTTTTTGTTGTGATTGATATCTTGTTTGATTTTGGAAGTGATCGTTTTATAATTTGTTTTGGTTTCATGGAGAGAAAAATAATTTAAGGTTAATTTTTCATATTATTTTTTTGATATATTTTATATATTAATTAAATTCTTAATTTTTTATTTATTT